AGTCTCTAAGACTAATTTGAATTTTTAAAAATCAAATGGCATTAAGGGGTACAGCTTTATACCATTTATGCTTTGCTTAAAGGGTTACAAAGCAAAAACATATATCACTAAAGGATTTACACGGGTAAATATAGAGAAAATATCTGGAAGGAAGTATCCCCCCAATCGATTTTTGTTGTTGTTCTTGTTTACAACCACAAATTAGTATTTACAAAGAGACAAGGATCCTTCTTCTGTAACATGTCATTTATATAAGGAGAATGTACAGATAGGTTATTAGTCATATATTCTCTTCTTTTACAGAACTCAAGGTCAATATGGATTTGTGGCACACATTCAGCCTTTCCCTTTACTTCAACAGCCTATTCTCTACTCTTGTGGGCGGAACACCATCCTTCTCACTCACAGGCAAGTCAAGACAAAGACAAAGAAGCTGTGTTGCAGGGGCCCAGAGAGCAGAAGTAGGAAAGGCAGGTAGAAACTTGAGCACAGCACACTTAAGATTAGTTATTGCAAGGGAGCCAAAACTTCCAATAGTAAGATACTCAGAGAGGAACGAAGCACACACATGCGTTGCCAGTGGGAGTGTGAATTAATTCACCTTCCGGAAGGAAAGCCACTCGGTGACACCTACTGTAATTTAAAGAGGCATGTTCTGTTTGGTCAGCAATTTTGTTCATTAGCAATTACCCAAGACAGATATCCTCACACTATACAAAAAACAACATCCAATCAAACAGAGTCCCACAGCATTGGTTTGAATAAACCACATAAATATCCACCAACAGGAGCATCAGCATAAATAAACTGTGGCACAAGGGGATTCATAAAGCAATTTAAGAAATTAGCTCCAGTTGTGATTATGTGGTGTGATCACCTAAACATGTGGTGAAATTCAAACAGAGGTGTCTTAGAATGTGTATGTATAATTCTTCCATTTGTGTAAATTATGCACACATATAAGTGGGGGATCTGGGGGATGGGGATGCACCAAAATATCCACACCTATAGATACTGTTCTGTCCTTTGTTTGTCTCTTATGTTTTTCTATTTTATGATCATTAAATGGTGTTTTTAAATTTCAAAGTAGATTTTCTTTTAAAATCTTTCGATAGCCTTCTAAGTATGTGGACTCTGTCTAGGGAGAAGAGGGTAGACAGAAAGCAGGTCACAATACTTGCTTCTCATGGGTTCTGGGATCCTGACACATGGCAGCTGAGATAAACAGTGGCTCAATATGTCTTAGCTCTAAGCCACAGGTCAGAAGTCAGTCATGAAACTAGATCCTCTTGACAACTGAACCAGAGCCAGGAAGATCTCAGTCAACAAAGGGGGTTTCCTTTCAAATTATTCTTGCTACAAGAGTAATACTTATTCTTTATGGAGATATTGAAAAGATAATAAAAACAAAAAATGAAACGTATTTGTTAGCCTGTCATCTGGAGACATCTGCTGTAAATAATAGTATTTGTATCCAGCACTCAGGAGGCAGAGGCAAGTGGACCTCTATGAGCTCCAGACCAGCCAGGGAAACATAATGAGACCCTATCTCAAAAAATAAATTAACAAAAATGAAACTCTATATAAAAGATCTTTTTACTCAATAAATGTTACTCTATCACAAGACTTTTCATAGCTGTATAATAATTCAGTGGATGGATGAAATATCTGTGCTGTCACAAGCTTTGCTACAGTAACCAATGCTGCAGTGTTATAGTTCCTGGTAAGTTTGGGCATAGTTTATTTCCTCAGACTAAGCTCCTACTAAGAAATGTAGTTATCTGGTAAAAAGCTATTGTAACTCTTGCTGTTCTCTACTAGTTTACACTGTCATTTCTAGTGGATAAGGAAGGATATTTTATATATCTTGGCCAACAATAGTCTATAATTTAAATTTAAAAATCTTAAAAATACCACTTACAAAAAAAAAAAAAATCCTATGAATGGGTCTACATTGTTGAAAAGCATGATTTTTCCCCAATGGAGTAGGCTTGAAGCACTAGACTAGTGCAGTTATTCTGAAGTCATTTACTTTCTGACCTAGTGATGGGGTAGCTTTCCCATTTACTGATACCTCAGGGAAGAAAAGGGTAAGGAGGAGCTTGAGGGAAAAGGAAACCCGTACAGATTTTCCTATCTCTGCAGACGCTGAAGAGGCCGGTGCTCCAGTCCCCACCAGTCTGAACAATGGCTGTGACTGTGGTCCTGCCACTGGCTCCTCGGATAGGCTGCTTCACCACAGCACGAGCTGGTACTTGGCTCCTGGAAAGTCGAGGATGATGATTTACTTGTTAACAAAGATCTGAAGAATGATAACCATTAATCAAGACAGAACAATAAAGAAGAGAACAGAGATCCATGGTGCCAAGAGACTGTCATAATCCAGGCTGACTCAGTCATTTCCCTCTTTCAGCATGCCTTCTCCGACTTTTTAATTTTTTGTCCCATTAAGGACCAATCTATCATTTAAATCCAATGGCCAATCTATCACCTCAGTGTTTGTCAGGGTTTCATAATAGCTAAATTCATAAACTTGAAACAAAGAGACATCAGGTCAGATCTCAACATGTCCCTCCATGGTGATGTGACTTCAGCTAAATGGTTTAAACTCCCTACTTCCTATCAGTTCAGCTGGGAAAAGTACCTCATAGGACTTAATGTATCAACTGAAAGACAATTAGTTTACTGTCTCTAGAGGGTGAAGTACACTATAACCCGAGAGTGCTGAGCCTCTGTTAAAGAATGACAGGGAGGACTGACACAGCAGTTAGAAACATGGGCTTGGCTACTGGAGTTGACATGTGGATGGTCCCAGTGCAGAACATCCCACAACTTCAGCTTGGAGTTAAATTTTCATGTAAGGACTGGATATTTCCACTTTCTGTAATTCTAAATTAGGAAATACGTGCTCAAAGGACTGGGATGCAACAGTAAAGTGAGGGAAAAAAAAAAAAAAAAAAAAAGGGAGGAAAAAAAAAAAAAAAAAAAAAAAAAAAAAAAACTCCCTCCTCTTTCTGAAGTGGAAAGTTTTGCCTGAATTTCAGTCATGGAAATGACAACAGTCATTTCTGTGGATGGAAAGTAAGCTGCTTCAAGGTTCATGGGAAAGTTGGGTCAACTTGGAGTCACTGGGGCATAGAATGAGCCTGAGCCTGAGCCTGAGCCTGCACCGTGTTGTCATTACATTGTTGTATGACTCTCCTTCAGCAAGCCTTATGAAATGTTCGCACCTGATCTCTTATGGGCTATGGAAAATTAAGGAAGGGATCTGCCTCACATTTGCAATAAAATAAACAAGACAATACCATTTCCCCAGAAACCATTGTTGTAGTAGGTCACCAAGTTCTAGGTGCCCTACAAGTCAAAGCGAAAAAGTCTGTCCAATCATAAGATTCTATTGCACTTGGGGCAAACAGCTGGGGAGCCCTTCCAGACTTGATTTAGAGCAATAAAATGTTATGGTATAATAATATGTATTTTCCATCACACCAATACTTCCTACTATTATTGTTGTTGTGTTGAAGGTCCCCCAGCTGGTGGTATGATCTGGAGAGCTTCTGAAAACTTTAGGTGGTAAGGCTTATTTGGAAGTAGTAGTTCATTAGGAAGATACTTTTGAAGGTTTTGCTTTGTGAAGGGCCTGGTCATGCCTTTGAAGGTAAACTTTAACGGGGCCAGAGACCAACCCCTTCCTTCCTCCATCCCTCCCTGCTTCCTGTCTACCCTAAGGTTCTCAACACCACGATGATCTCAACATGGGCCCATATTCAATGAAGTTAAGGAATATGGGTTGAAATCTCTAAAATCATAAACCAAAATACATAATTCTTTCTTTTAGTTGTTTATAACATGCATCCTGACACAGTGACAAGAAAGCTAATAGCTTGCCCAAGCATTACTAAACAGGACAACTTGTTGGAACAAATTCCAAAGCCTTGCCCCAGACCAACTGTACAGGTCTCCAAAGAAGTCTAGAAGTCACTACCATAACAGGTTTCCAGATACTTAACAAGCAAGCATTCACCTCTTACAATGGATTTGGAAGTCATGCAATAGCTCCCAAGTCTTCACCAGCTAGGTGGTGGTGTCCATCTAACAGGAATGGTAAGGAAAACAGAACAGATGGTAGGCAAGAAGGGAGGATGCTTGAAACACATCTAGTCCAAAGACCCAATGAGTCATCAAGATGCTAAACAAAGAGCTGGGAATGCTACATAAGAGCTCAGAAGGAAGGCCGGCAGCAGCCACTGGGTCCCAGAGCAGGCCTAGTCCTTTTATCTGTTAGACATTACAGATAATACTTAGGATCTAATTAGCAGTTTAAGACCCTCGGTTCTTAAGACTTAGAAAAACGTGTAAACCATGAAATTAATGCTAAATCAAACACTAAAAGTTAGCATTATGTCCATTTCATTGTCAAATAGAACTCATGAATTCTGCTGTTGTTTAGTGTGTTTTTGTTTTTGTTTGATTTTGAGACAGGGTCTATGCAACCCTGGCTAACCTGGAACTCACAGAGATGAACCTGCCTCTGTCTACTGAGTGCAGGGCTAAAGGCTTATGTCACCACATTCTGTCCAACTCACAAATATTTTATTGTATTTGAAAATATGTTTAGTTTTCTTGTTTTTCAAAAGTTCCCGGACAAGCAGCAGCCAGTGGCTAATCATTACTTATTTCAAAACTAACCATTTCAAAACAAACTTGTAAAACACCCTTTCATTTGCCACTCAGATGTATGTAAAGAAAAAGAGAATTATGGCATGGGTTATGTGTTGACACTTGCTCTAAAATGAGTTAGGGATTATTTCTGTGGACTGTCATATGCTCCCTGACATGTATATTGAGTCCCCAGCCCCCAATGTGTCTGTATATGCACAGGTCTTCTAGGAAGCAAAGTTCAGTGGGTCAGAGGGATGGAATCCTGAGTTAATGGGACTGATAAAGGAAGAGACCAAGCAAGTACCCTGTGATCCAGGAAAGACCTCACAGAACCCACCCATACTCCCCCAAGCCCAGACTTCCAACCTCCAGAACTGAGGGAATTAGTTGTTACTAACTCCACCTGGCCTAGAGTCTTTTGTCATAGCCACCTATAAACATCTGAAACTGGTCCTGAAGAACCTGCTTTCATACTGGTCCCATTTCATCTCCCTCCATGTGAGCTCCTTGTTGCAGGAGCCACATGCCGTTGTTCCTCTTTGTATGCCCAGCATCTAGCACACTACCGTGAAACTGAGTGAGTACTCCATAAATATTTGCTGATTGGATCAAATAGATTCACTGTCTCTCCTATTGTACTCAAGCCTTTCTTAAATCTAGCTCCTCTGGGCTAAATTATGCAACTTGAACTGAGTTGTTTCAATTCTGTTGTAGAGGGCATAACTCTCAGGTGTGAACTGATGAAATAAAAGCAGAGGATAACCTAAAAGCTTTCTGCATCTCTCTACACAATCCAAGGCAATTCCTTCTCAGCATGATGCCTACCAGTGAGGGCTCCCATCATTATGCTAAGAGCTTCAATCATCTCTGATTTTAGTGGAGGGATTTCTAAGGGCTGAGCACCTGGAAAGATTTTTCCCTGAAATGAACCATTTACAGCTTACAGCCCTAGACAATAATTTTTTGCTTCTATCTTAAAATTATGTGCATAACACCTTTTATCACAGCAAGGAAGCCAGTCTTCTATCTACTCCAAATCAAGTAACTGAGAAGCTAACTTTTACTTGTTGGAAAAAATTACTTGTGTGTGTGTGTGTGTGTGTGTGTGTGTGTGTGTGTGTATGTTTGCCTAATTTTGAACTCAATAAGAACTCTATTCTAATATTCTGAATCTTTGGTGATTTTTTTATTAAAATGTTTAGATTTATAGATGCAAAGATGTTTCAGTTCAAGCTTATTGCTCATCTGTTGTGATTAAAATAACAATGCCAGCACTTCCCTCTTCCCATTAAAAAAAGAAAGATGACTAGGCGTGACAATGCACACCTGTAACCCCAGTACCTGGGAAAACAAGGCAGGAGAATTTGAGACCAGCCAGGCCTGCATAGCAAAATCCTATCAAAAGGCAGTGAGAATTAGAGAGTCAAAGCAAGAGGTGGGGGTGGCTTATCAATCTGGGGCTACTATAGATGAAACTAGTTATTGCAACTTCTTGGGTAGCTTGTCTGAATGTGACCCCCAAGGGATGCTTATGCTACCATGAAGAACAGGAACAAGCATGGGCATGATAGAAACAGCTGATGTCCACAGAACTGTTGCAAATCAGAGACGCTGTCCACTCACAAGCAGAAAAGAGCAGATTTGTGCACACTGAATTTCAAATCCAGCTCAGCTGCATTCTAGTTCTGTAAGATTAAGAAAGACCCCATCACTGCCCTCAGCTCTGGCCTCCTCCTCCTCCTCCAACTGTGTTTTAGTTACTCTAGCTCTTGGTTGCCATGAGCATTCAACATTATTGTGTACTTGGTGCATGGAGGCATGTAATTGATGGCAGCTAGTGTTAACATAACCAGCATCCAGTGTATATAACATGGGCATTCTTGGCTTTTCTGAGCAACGAAGAAGGCAGAGAAATCTGGGTCAGTTTTTTTAAGCTAATCCATGTGCTACCCAAATACCTTGAAATACAGTCAGAATGACCAACCATCTCAATTTTCCAGAATAAAGATTTTACTAGGATAGAGAACTTTTGGTGCTAAAATCAAGATGGTCCAGGGAAAACCAAGAGAAATAGTAACTGTGCTCATTAAACGCAGAGGGAAGTTTTAGTAGGAAACAGGTGGATGACAGCAGTCTCATCTGATCGCCCTACCAAGTAATGTGCTTCAAGAGGGTAAAACACACCCTCCTCCCTCATTCTGGCTTCTCTGTCTTCTAAGTCCCTCTCCTAAGAAGCTAGGCATCCTCCCCACCAAATGTTGACTGTCCCCACGTTGAATACATCAGTCTGGGTAGGTGCTGTTAATTCTTTAATCAAGCATGCAGTGCTAAGAATTTACTGTACCTTCCACTCAGGCCTCCTTGTTTACCTCAAATTCTTAATTGAAGTCAAATCTCTGAGATGCTCATGTCAAAGAAGTGGAAATCACAGGCAGTCATCAGAAGTAAAGAATCACTTGGCCAGGATAGGACAATTTAAACTAAGAATGAAGAGATTTTCTTTAAATCAAGCGGTCCTTCTTCCATGAGCCAAGCACAATTGCCCTCTTTTCAAGTACACATGGGGCTAGGTAACTCCACTCTCCCCTCTCCCCATAAGCCACTGTTCTTTCCCTGTCTCCTTTTACAAAGAGACTGGCTGCATATTCCAACTAACAGCAAAACCTGGGAGGAAAGTCACCTGGCTTCCTACCTCAAGTTCGAGAGTAAATGCTCATCTCCAGATGACATGAGTGAAAAGAGTGGCATGTGTGTACCGAACAAGGAAACATCCTCGGGGCACCTGGAGAAGTAATGCCCAGGCCAGATCATGACTAAGTGTCTTCTTGTCTGGTTATCCTTTCCCTTGAACAACAAGGAGACTGGTTCTGAATTTGGGTTCAAACCAAAGTGAAGCATGCCTTTAAAAGAATGTTGCCTTGATATTCTGGAACCTGAGGTCATAAAGTCTGAGAGACAGACATTGTATCTTTTTAAAGGTGAACACGTGTCTAATTAAGGGCCTGTACCTTTTTGTAATCTGAAGGGAGACTGATGGAGATGCAATGTAAAAACAAAATTTAAAACAAGAGGCTTATCTTTGATGGGAAAATCCTTTGCTTTAAAAGATGCCTTTACTAAGTATTTACCTAGTTAAGTGGCTGGCTAAGCACCATGTCTCCTGTCGTAGAGGCTGCAGTTTTCTACCCTACTAGGCAGCAATGTGGCTTCATCATCAGATCAGTGATCCAATCCTGAAAGATGAGACAATTCCATAATATACCCAAAAGCAGGAACAGAAAGTCTCCCAGCCTGAGGATTACTTATCAAGAAAAAAGATCTTCAAAGGATCAGAAAACCATTAAGAAAAATGATTGAGGACAGACTATCCCCAACATAGAAGTATTACACCATATATTTCTAATTACAAAGGGAAAACAAACACACATCACACATGCCTGGAAAAAGCCAAATGTGTCTTTACAACTCAAAGTTCTGAGAGTGTTTTTAGAGAAAAGGGAAGTTACCTGCAATGAAAGCCCTAGAAGTGACTGTCCAGGAAGTTATCTCTGAAACAGAACACCCTGGAAGTTGTCAGGAAGTACCATTACAAGGGAAATTCTGAAATTTACCAAGTTTGGAAATTGAACAAACAGATAATTTATCTTCAAATGAAAGTAATGCTTAGTCTGAATTTCAACAAACCTCTAGGCATGCTGCTAAAAGAAAAAACATTCTGTTAGTCAAGTGAAATGAAAATAAAAAGAAACAAGCAAACTTAAACTTAACCCAACATATATGACACAACACTATTTTGGCATTCAATCTTTTTTTCTTTCCTAATTTTATGTCTGGGTGCTGTGTCTACATGAATGTCTGTGCTTCCTGGGCATGCCTGGTGCCAAGGCCAGAAGAAGGTGTCAAATCCCCTGGGATTAGTCACAGACAGTTGTGACCCACCATGTGGGTGCTGAGAATAGAATCAGGCTCTCTGGAAGAGCAGCCAGTGCTCTTAACCTTTGAGCCATTGCTCCAGCCCCTTCAGTCAATATTTTAAAATTATTATTACAATATCTTGCATTCCTTTTGCATAGAGAGACTCTAAGATCTGGGACATAAACTACTGTTACAGCACATGGAGATCTGGTCCAGCAACATTTCAAGTGCTCTGAGACTGTGTGGCTAGTGGCAAAGCCCTGAGCAGCACAACTTTGAATTTACCATCACAAGAAATATGACAGGAACAAATTACCACATCCTCTTGCAAACTGAAAATGAAGTATTTCTCTATTACATTCTTTAAGGCCCTTAAAAGTGTCATCTTCTACCCTAGTGTGTGTGTGTGTGTGTGTGTGTGTCTGTTTCACCTGCAACTAGTTATACTTTGTGTATAGTGTGAACAATCAGAAACTTAATTATAATACTCCAAGTTTGGGGATATTCTTCTAATGCAATGGTTCTCAACCTATGAGTCATGACCCCCTTGAGGGTTGAATAACCCTTTCACAGGACTTGCATATCAGATATTTGCATTATAATTTAAAACAATAGCAAAATTACAGTTATAAAGTAGCAACAAAAATAATTTTATGGTTGGAGGGGTCACTACAACATGAGAAACTGTATTAAAGGGTCACAGCATTAGGAAGGATGAAAACCAGTGTTCTAATGTAAATGTGAAGTTATGTCCAAGACACTAAGAGAAGAAAAACAGAGAACAATTAATGTTAAACCTGTACATTCTTAAGATTGTCAAAGGAATGTATTTTAAGGTGTATAACAAATATTAACAAATTAAGCCAGGCACAGTTGTGCATACTTTTAATCCTAGCACTTGGGAGGCAAAGGCAGATGGATGTCTGAGTTCAAGGCCTGCCTTGTCTACAGAATTCCAGACTACCAGGACTCCACAGAGAAACCCTGTCTTGAAAAACCAAAAACAAAAATAAATATTATTTGTTTCAAAAGTGTGTGGTGACACTCCACAAGTAGTTAAAATATCCAAATCTACCATGGAATGCAAGAGCTAACATAAGAAGACCCCATTTTAATTACCTGTTTCCAACTTCCTTCTCATTCCTAACCATCATCTCCCAAGCAAGCCTGGGTCCACCTTTACCAGAGTTCTTATCTGAAAGTTTCAGCTGTTCCTTCAATCCCATCCTCTACACCACGCCTCATTTGTGAAGTCTTTCTCTGACCTGACAGCCTGACAACACAGGTGGCAAGCCACATTCTGTTCTCCAAGAAGTAGTTCTGTCTACCTAATGAGAATGCTTAAGTGAACACAGAACATGGGGGCAAGTGCTCCAACTCAACCCTCACAAGAGTATGTGGGATTCTGAACATCCACTTTCATCTCCAGACCTGACTCATGGGGCCTCCTTGCTGTATTTTGCTTCCACATGCAACTCCATGCCACTCTCAGAGCCTTTGTATTTGCTGTTCCCAGGTCTCTGCTAACAAAGTACAAGTACATTTACCCTGAAACCTATAAGCTAGCTCCCATCTACAAATTCATTCTGAATATACATGTCCTGAAATAGCAGCCATATATTCCTAAGGTTATTCACCATGTTCCCTTTCTTTTCATACATTATTTTCATATGTATGTGACTGTACCAGTTTATGTGCATTACGTGTATAGAGGAGCCTGAGGTCAGAAGGGGTGTCAGATCCCCTGGAACTAGATTTATAAGGGATTATTAGCTGCCATGTGGGTGCCAGGATCCAAACCAGAGTCCTCTGCAAGGGCAGCAAGTGTGGGTAGTTGCTAGGAGATGCACCTCTGCAGCCTCTCATATACATTCTTAAGGAAGTCTACACACTATTACTTGCAAAGAACTTAAGTGTCCATTTATAGGCACTAACAAGGCAGGTAATCCTTCGCAGCAGCATTATACAATGGGATGGAAGGAAGATGAGGAGCAGGTTAAGGCAGGGAAGAGAAGCATGAAAAAGAATTCTCATAGCAACATATTTAGGTTATGTTGTTAGCTTTAAAAAGCAAAGCGTAAAATAATTTTATATAATTCTATAGAAAGATATCTATATATAATTCTACAAAAAAATTTCCTACTATATTAGAAAAACATAAATTAAAATATCAATAAATTAATTGCCAGTTTTGGAAAGAAATATAGAAAACATAACCAATACTATTTAGCAATTGAGTGGAAACATGGTATAAGAGGTTTGTGAATGGATATAGCTTTGACTTTCAAACCATGTATTTTATTTATTTAAAAAAAGAAAAAGAAACAGGCTAGAGAGATAGTTCAGCAATTAGGACATTTGGTTTCCTTGCAGGGGATCCAAGTTCAATTGCTAGAGCTCACTGCCAGTGACCTTTACCTCCTGCTCTAGGGAATGAAGCCTTCTTCTGCCCTCCATTGGCACTGCACTCAGGTGCATAAACCCACACTCATTGCACACAAATACACTTAATTAAAAACAGAACAAATCTTTTTTTTTTTTTAAAGAAAACCATGAAGCTGGACATAAAAGAATAACAAATGATCTGATCAAACCACATATAGTCAGACATGGTGGGGTCTGCCTTAAATAGAAAAACCCTGTCTCAAAAAAAAAAAAAAAAAAAAAAAAAAAGGAAAACACATATAAAAAATAGTTGGAGGTTAAAAGCACTGGCTGCTCTTCCAGAGGTCCTGAGTTCAATTCCCAGCACCCACATGGTGCCTCACAACCATCTATAAGATCTGGTGCCCTTTCTGGCATGCAGACATATATGAAGGCAGGATGTTATATTCATAATAAATAAATATTTCTTTAAATAAATAGTTGGGCCAGGTGTGGTGGCACACACCAATGGGGAAGCAAAGGCAGGTAGATCTGAGTTCCAGGCCAGCCTGTCTCAAAAATATAAACAGTAATAATAATTCGAGAAACCACATAAAAAAAAAGAATTCAAAAATATACTTGAATACAGCACTGACTATATCCAAGAAAGATGTTCTAAAAACACAAAGAAAAACAACTAAAGAATAAAAATCAGTTAAGTTGGGAGATTTTTCATCAATAGTTGTGTTGAAAGCTCTGAGAGCTCTGAAGCAGACACACCTAAAGGAAAACAGTTATCCGTGGGTCCCTAGCACAGGTGGCCCCAGCCTATACCCTCATATGCATCACACACTCACTAGTAACATGACACTGTGTATGTATAGTTTTCCTAGATAGGGCTGACCAGCAGACAGTAAGTCAACAAAGTTTACCATTCTTTACATTTTAACTGGAGCTGAGGACTTGCTGAGATACCCAAGTTCAAATGGAAGTGGAATCTAGGCTATCTAGGTGACTTCAAAGCCACATTGCCTGACAGAGATAAGTGATCTGCACTGGATTCCCTAGCAACAGTCATCTGACCTCAGTTAAAATTCAGCTTCCTTGGGACTGTCAAAACTGGCCTTTCCCCATGCTGAACCCTTCAAAAATGAAAATATTTTCTCCTCTGCTGGTCGACATGAAGACAGATGGACAAATTTAATACTTTCCAATAAAAATAAAAATATAGGTAGTATGATCTTTAAAGCTAGTTAGACTAAATTTTGCTAAGTCCTTATATCTAGAAGAGAAAAAAAAAAAAAAGAAACTCTTAAAGTACTAAAACTTACAAGAGATTAAATAAGTTACAAGCTATTGATAGTGTCCCTGAACCTGGACAGTGACACACAAAACTAGGAGCTGAACTCAGTGGATGAGAGCGCTTACTAATAAGCATAAGGATTGAAATTCAAATTCCTATACAAACATATAAACAACCTGGGCGTCTGAACATCAAGATGACTCAGCAGCTGAAGACATTTGCCTGGCACACCCGGAGACCTGAGCTCAATCCCTGATTCCCATGTAAAAGTGGAAGGAAAACACCAATATACAAAGTTGTCCCTTAACCTCCATGTACACATTGTGGTATAAATATCCCCACCCCCTCCACATATATACCACACATACACAATAATAACAGTAAGTTGAAAAACCCTTGGGCTCCATAACTGCCAGTCTAGCTCAGGTTCAGTGGCAGACCATGTCTCATGGGAATAAAGCGGAGAATGACACAGCAGAACCACCCAGTGTCCTCTTCTGTCTGGCACATGAACATGTACATAGAGCTCTGCACACATACACGCACATGCACTACACACATGCTCACATCACACTCATAAAAGGAAGTAATGGAACTAGCTCACTCACTATTGTCTCTTTCTTTTGTTTCAAGACAGGGATTCACTGTGTAGCCCTAGCTGTCCTAGAACTCACTCTGTAGACCAGGCTCTCCTCAAACTCAGAGATCCATCTACCTCTGTCTCCTGAGTGAGGGGACTAAAGGTGTGTGCCACCACTGACCGGTGTAGATATATTATAGTATAAAGATCTGTGATGCTCCTTAACCTACATAAACAGTAAAAAGCACACTTCATAAAAGGGACACACTGACAACAGGGCACAGTGGGACATGCTTATAATCCCAGCATTCAGGAGATTGAGTCAAGAGGATCACGAGCTCCGAGGCCAGCCTGGGCTACAGTATGACCCTGCCTGAAACATAAAAAACAGACCAAAAAGGAAACATCCTGACACTCTTGTGTAAACATTAAAAACTCCTAGGAAGCAGCAATTATTTGTTAAAAATAATGACATGGGACAAACCATTTCTCTTAGAGGCCCAAAGGTGAAAAAAGATGCCAGTTTATTAGATTTAGAAATCAAAGGGGAATTGGTGTAATTATGAATACACACAGAATCCAGCCATTAGAAATGAAGTCTATTTAGATTTAGCTTGAGATTCTCAAGGCGGAACCATATTAAAGGTCCAATTTGCATGAGCTCAGTGAACCAGATAGACTATTGTGTCGCCAATATCAGTGCGTAGCCCGTTCTCGGTGAGGTGAACTTTCTTGCTCCCTAGGTCCACATGGAAAACAGCATTCTCAGAAATGAGCGTCTTCTCACTGTGCTCTCTCCCTAGGACCGGAACTCTTCGAGGCCCCAGCAGAGGATCATCAAACCTCATCAGTTTCACTTTGGAAAGATCTATAGCAGAAGAGATCACCAACATGAGCATCTGCATACAGTCATTGACACAACATGGCTGTAATAGCCTAACACGGGCAATTTCATCAGATACGTGGGCCCCAGCCTCAGAAGAAAGGCAGCATCTAGTAAACTTTACCCCCTTCCAACTTTACACCTGAACCAACACATCTAGAATGCCAAACCAAGAGGGAGGGAGAGTAGTGCCGGCCTATGGCTTAAATCACATTTACATGCTTCAACAAACCTTTCGTGCTCCCAGATGCACTCAGCTGGTGAAAGGACGTTTTTGACCTATTTTTGGAGAAGTCACAACCACTGTGAGAAACAGAACTACTACCTAGGACTTCTTTTGCTAAAAAGGTAAGTATTTGGGCCACAGGCTGGTGAAAATTAAGAGGAGGAGGGGCAGAGGGAATGGGAACTTTGAGATGAGCTCTGTTGTGCAAGCTAGTAATAGGGCTTCTGACCAAAAAGAACTAAACAAACAAACAAACAAATTCACAAAACAGAAGCCCCAAACCAAACAAGCACTTGCCCTGTAAATAAATTTATGATTCAACAATCTGGTCAAAAAATATTTTATTTAAACAATTCTAAGACTTCTCAACATCAAACAATTTTGTTTTTATATGGGGGGAGAACAATGACACAAATGTTCATTCTAGGTCAATGTCGTTCGGGGCATAGTATGGCTGGTTATACTTTATCTGCCCCTCCCCCAAAGACATTTCCTACCTTACTTCCAACCTTTTCTAAAACGGATCACTGGGTGGTCTGTGAGCTACATTCCCTCCTGGTGTCTCAGGAGGACAAAGCCTAACTTTGTAAGGGATAAGAGATCAAAGAAGACATTAATGCAGCTGGCAGCCATGCCCACAGAACAAGTCTTCCAGGCATTCTGTTCTCTCTGGGAAACAAAGACCGAAAGGCTGCAAGTTTAGAGAAGAGCTCTCAGGGCTTACAGAGCAATTACCTGCATCTGCCATAAAAGCAAACCCTGCCTGGGAGTGTTCAGTCTCTGCAGAAACCATACACAGTCTGCTCCAAGACAAAGCACAAGCCCTGAAATCTAAAATAGAGAGACAGGCAGCAGTCTTCCCCAAGCCTTCATCTTATTTGGGTGAACACAATTCATTGTAACAGCTATTGCAATTTCACCTGTACATCAGCGGCACCAAATATTTTGCTATAGAAGCAGTAACAAGTTCTGCCAGCAGATTTTATACATTCACTGCAGCTCTCTCTCTCTAACAGTCTTCCCTCGTCATTTCAACCAATTCTAATTTGGACTATTTCAAAGAAACCTTAACACTCAATCAGCCTTCTAAGTGACAAAATACATTTGCTTTGATGTTTTGCCATGTAGTTCATTACTGCCAATAAATTTGTAGGGCTTTCTTAGTGGCCTTCCTATCTATTCTTATCCTAGATCTCTCTCATCACTGAAAATGTTGAAATTTAAGTCTGCAACTACACAAGATTTAAGGCACTTAGAGAAAAGATAAGAGCGATTGAAAGCCCCTAGGGACTGGTAATATGAAATGGAGCCTCTCACCTCCAAGTTATTAGTTCATATGTGGTATAGGTGTGAGTGATTTAAAGTCATTATCATCAAGGGTTGCTCAATGGCCTTTGTGGCGTGAAATGATGGTTTGAGTCGAGTTCCTCCTGGCCCCAGATCATAATCACCTTCAATACAATTGGCACTAATTGGACTGCACGCTGGCTAGTATAGCAGACAGACTATGAAGTGTGTTATTGAATTGCACTGCTTTTCTATCTTACATCCTCAATATGTTCAGCCCCCATACATATCAAAGCAACCCGTAGGCCTATGGAAAGTATCAAGGTCAGATCTCTTCTGTGGATTCTCACACAAATATGAATTTCAAACTGCACTAATGCATTTATCCATTTTCCAAAATATATAGCAGCTACTAGCATCAAACTTAAAACACTGTATGCTATTATTAACAGCTTGAATGAGCAAAGAGATAAGAACCATACCAGAGGCTACACAAGAAATGAGAACAAATAGAAAGCAATGCCAGCACAATTCTGAGGAACCCAGTCAGTGTACAGTGTACCTTTAATAGGGATGTTGATTTAACATCTTAAAAAAAAAATTGCCTGTTAGTGGTGGTGCACGCCTTTAATCCCAGCACTCAGGAGGCAGAGGCAGGCAAATCTGAATTCAAGGCTAGCCTGGTCTACAGAGCAAGTTCCAGATGGTCATGGCTATACAGAGAAACCCAGTCTGGAAAACAAAAACCCCACAAAAAAAAAAATAATAAAATTCATTACATTTATTTGTTTGTTTTGTGGTTGTGTGTTTATACACACATGCCATAGCACACATGTGCAATTAATTCAGAGGACAATTAAATTTCCCTTCTTCCATAACACCATGGAGACCAAGGTCCTCCATCAGCTTGGCAACAAGTGCTTAGCTCACTGAGGCATCTCATCATCCCCAATTTAACACTTTACAATACAAATTCCAATGCAGAAACTACCACAACCTCATAATAAGGGCCCATGGGTCCACACAAACACCTGTTTTCTTTAAAAGCCACTCTAATATTCTTCCTACTATAAAATCTGCTTAAGATTGAACAAAAGCATTACAAATATGTTCCAAAGGCATATCTACCATTCTATGCTATTTCACACAATAAATGCCTATATGGGCTAGAGAGATGGCTCAGTGGTTAAGACACATGCTGCTCTTACTGAAGACCCAGGTTCAGTTCCCAGCACCCACTCTAGATGGCTCATAACCACCTGTAACTCCAGTTACAGTCTATCTGACACCTCTTCCTGGCTTCCATGTCCACCTGCATGCAAATGGTGCACATACATACACTCAGGCATATAGATATTCACGTAAAATAAAAAACAAATCTTTAAGAATATGAATGAGTCTTGGAAAACTGTGTGTGTATCTGTAGTATATGCGTGTATGTGCACATGTATGTGGGTGCACTAAAACGTGCATGTGAAGGTCAGAGGCTAATGCCAGGTGTCTTCCTCTGTTACTCTTCACAGTATTATTTATGAAGAACCTGGAGCTTGCAGTTTCAGCTGGATAGGCTGGCTATCTGCACACATCTCTCAGCTTTGTGGTTGCAGACATATGGCACTGCATATGGCTGGTTTGGTTTTGTTTTTAATATAGGTGCTGGGGATCCAAACTTGGGCCTTCACTTCTGTACAGCAAGCACTTTACAAACTGAGCTAGCGCTCTCCATACCAACCCATGGGAGACATTTTGCTTAGTGAAATAGCTTAATAAGAAAGGAAAACTGCTGCTGGGTCAAGTGGTGCATGCTGGTAGCTCCAGCTACTCAGGAGACCAGGCAGGAAAACTGGTCAAGTTAGGGCAGGGCAGGGCAACAGAGTGAGGAATCAGGGCTTAAAAAAAAAAAAAAAAAAAAAAAAACCAGAATAGGCAAGAAAGCAGAGTGGTCACAAGGGAAAACAGGAAGAAGCAACAGGTTACTAGGCACAGGACTTCAGTTGGGAATATGAAAGTTCTGTGGCTGGACAATATGAACCCACTCAATGACCTGAAAATGACTCCAACAACAAAGCATGGTGGGCCACACTTATAATCCCAACACTCAAGAGGTTTGGAAGCCCAAGGCCAGCCTGAGCTGCACAGTGACAGTCTCAAACAAACAAAAAAAGGTACACTTTATGTTTATAAATATTTTACTTTAATTAAAAACCATTTTTATAAATATAAAATCCCTTACCTAGTACACTGTGGGTAACTATACATATGGTGAAACACAGTGGACACTCTCCTCCTCTAATACACTTCCTTGCTTTCACAAGGCCTATCCAAACAGTATTTTCTCCATAAATGTGCCTATAAATCACCACAGCTGGAGATCTTACCTCCCCTGTGCCCTGGATGAAATCTTCACTTTTCTGAAGGACTCAGTAGTTTCTCCTTCTATTACACACAAGTGTTTCAATAGCTTAGTTCCCAACCCTTTCACTACATATAGCTACTAATCAACAGCGCTTGTGGAATCCTCAAAACCCCAGAATAAACAACTGATCCTACACATACCACACAAGGTGGACTCTAAACAGATGTCCAAAAGACAGGAAACAAACAACCAGAGCAGAAACAATGTGTATGTGAAAATGACTTCAGGTCTTCTATTTTAATAGACTATGACTACTCAATACAGTTCCATAAGTCAGGTTACTGTTGGGATTTGTAAATACTGTTAGTAAATTTTTATGTTGGACTGGTTAGATGGCACTGTCGGTAAAACTCATGCTGCCCAAGCCTGACCACCTGAGCTTGATTCTCAGAGTCCATGTAATGTGGAAGATATGTTCCACCTAATCATAACACACAACAATTGTAAAGAAAAATTCTATACTGATGAAAAGTAATCCAGCTCTTTTTTCTGAGACAGGCTCTCACTGTATATCCTAAGTTGGTTTCCAGATTGGCCTCAAACTTTTGATCATTGTACTTCAGCCTCCCAAATGCTGGGGATATAGGTATGTGACACCAAGCCCAAACTAATCCATTTTTTATTATTATCAAAAAGAAAAGAGGGCCAGCAAGATGGCTCAGTAGGTATAGGTGCTTGCACAAGCCTGATGACCGAAGTCTGACAAGCTCTCCTCTGACCTACATGTATGTGCATGTATACACACAAACATAAGTAAAAGTCATTAAAAATGAGCTATAACTCAATGCGAGACCCCTTGCCTAGCATGTACAAGAACCTAGATTCAAATCCTAGCACTGAAAAGAAATGAATACATAAAAGTAAATGAGAAGACCAGTCCTGGGGGCATACACTTGTAATCCCAACAGGAGGCAGAGGCAGAATTGCCACAACTTCAAAGCCAGTCTGGTCTACACAGTGAGTTTCAAGTTACCTAGGGCTTCATGGTAAGATCCTGTCTGAAAACACATATCCACAATGAGGAAGAAGAGATGGGAGGAGAGGGAGAGATAGATATCATCTACAAGATGAACATAACATTAGTCAGTCTTCATAATCTAGAAGGAAAGTACTAGAGACACACTAACCTGTCTCTCATGTTCACTCCAGGACCTGGCTAGAGTGATGGTTAATCTTCACTAACTTGACTGCATTAAGAATCAAGGGAGCAGATCTGGATAAGTAAGGGCATTTCTATGGGATTTAACTGAGGAGAGAAGACCTACTCTGAATGTGATGGCACAAGCCCATGGACTCAGGTTCTGCACTGACTCAGAAGGAGAAAAGAGGGAAGACATATGAGCATCAGTGCTTTCCCACCTGCTTCCTGACACCAAATGTACTGTGGCCAGCACTTCAAGATCCTGCGGCAGCAGCCAGGCCTTTGCCACCATGTACTACACCCTCAAACTGTGAGTCAACCTTTCCTCTCTTAGGTTGCTTCTTGTTGGCTATTTTGTCATAGCAATTAGAAAACTAATAACTAATACTGAAAAAGGAAGCCACAGTACTCAGGAAGCAGAGGCAGACAGATGTCTCTGAGTTTCAGAAAACCTGGTCTATATAACAAGTTTCAGGGCAGCCAGGGCTACATAAAAAGACCTGTAGGGGAGGGGAGAGGATGTTTAGATTGAACTTAATCACAGAACATATATTCTTAACCTAGATCAGAAACTGAGATTATTTATGTATTTTGCCCAGAGAAACACTGTTAAAAGAAAAAAACCAGGAGCTTTGTAGTCTAACAGTTTGAATTCTAGGCTTGAGATTTTCCAGCTGAACAAACTTTGCAAGTTACTTAACCAAAGTGAACTTCCATTTCACTATCTATACAAGGAGAATGATAACAATAATAATACTTACATTGTAATTTGTAAAAAGATTAATAAGCTAATGCATGAGAGACACTCAAAAACTCATTCTATTTCTCTTCTAGGAAGAGACCCAGCTGGACAACTTAGTCTAGAATACTAAGGGTCTATGTTTCTAATTTTGAATTACCTCTAAGACACATAAATCACTTACTGTAATTTTAGAACCAGACAGGATACTGAAAAAATATCCAATCCAGAATACTCATGACACTGAAAGAGAGTCAACTTGGTGACTAAGTGACACAAAGTTACCAAACTACCTAACCCCAAAGGAGACCCAAAAAAATCTAGGTTTCCAGTTTGGGGCCCAATTCTCTACCCATGGTGTTACACAGCTATGGGAAGAGCTTTCTCTGTCCCTTCTACTTACAAATCATCAGTACATGAGCTTCTGCTAAGTGGGAGTTTCAAGGAAACTATTTTACCTTTGATTCCTCGGTCCATTTTCATTAAGCGTCTGATTATGGAATCACAGCTGTCTCCTTGCCTGACATCAATTTTGGTTGAGAAGTGGCCATTGGATGGCTGGGGATTTACTAGGAAAATTGACACACCAGCCTAGGAGAATAAAAATATAAGTTATGACACATCAAACTTGAATACTGCCAAAAATAAGGGCAATCTCTACTATATTTTCAATATCCTCTGAGAACATTTCTAATTCTGCACAAAATCATGACCAAGACACAGTCATATACAAAAGAAAAACTGTGTAAACTCATGTTTACACCTAGATGCATTGGTAAAACAGATTACAACTGCATGTATCAACGCTGGTGACAGACTATAACAATAACAGCATTTTCTCTTCCACAACTACCATCATTTGTTCAACTTCTCCACTACAAGTCAGGCACTGGAGAAACACTTTATAGACAAGACTTCCACATCCCCAAAAGGAATATTACAGTTACACAAAGAACACCACTTCATTTATTCATTTCTCCGGCCCAAATGACTGCACTTCTGTAAGCCACATCATGAGACAATGAAAGAATTACCACAAAATAAACTCAGAAGGTCTCCATGAATGTCATTTTACTCTTTCAAAACAGATCACTATTTTCAGTTAACAACATACCTAAGTCCTCTATTCGGATATTCTATGGAGTCATAATTATAGTCCAAATCTGAATGTATTCTTGGAGGCTAAATAGAATCTGTAAGACCTTTATACTTCTACCAATAATGACCAAAAAATAAGAGCAGGCAATTTCAGCATTAATTAAGATGATGAACCTGCCTGGTTTACACCAAAAAGCAAAAGCCTTGCATAACAGTTAAATAGTGAGAATAGACTGTTTGAAGGCTTTGTCACTGTTTAAAAGTCTTATCCACAGCTAGTTTGTTTGTTTGGGTTTTTTTCCTTCTTCCAGTAAAAACCAGGTTCAGAGCTGGGTGGTGGTGGCAAACTCCTTTAATCCCAGCACTTGGGAGACATAGGCAGGCAGATATCTATGAGTTTGAGTCTAGCCTGATCTACAAAGTGAGTTCCAGGACAGCTGGGGCTACATAAAGAAACCCTGTCTCAAAAAACAAAACAAAAAAACAAAAACAAAAAAACCCAGGTTCAGATTATCTTACTTTAGTTTTTAAAACTACAAATAATAAATAACACTATCATGAGGCATAACCAGTACTGCACAAGCCAGGGCAATAACAGAACACCTAAATCCAACCCCATTTCTAGCCCTTCATATTCAATTCCTTCTACCTATGAATGATGGGCGTTGCCCCTGTCTAGGTGTAGTAGGCAATGATTGAATATGGCTTCTTTAACTTACTTCTGTTCTGAAAACATTAAGCGGCTTCCCAGGACAACAGTCGTCCCTGACTTTATCTTCTGCTTCAGAGGCAAACTTGACTTCTATATGTTCTAACTAAAAGGATGGGGAAAGGAAAGTCATTAGGAGCACTTAATATAACAGAAATTAAGCACCACCTCATCTCATTAAGAGAAAACTGGTTTCTCCACTTATTATGAAATGATCTGTACAATTTTATTGTTTTCCTTATAAATGTTAAATGAAATCTATAATCTGCTATCAACAGTCATCTTAGCTGTTTCATGGTATTGTTCTTTACACAGTTGTGTGTCATGCTTTCTATATCAGAATCTGGCATCTACCAGCCACATAAAAAAGAGGAAAAGCAGCATGAAAGCCTTTCACCTAAACAACAGAAGCTCCAAATTTATCATTTGAGAAGTTACATAAGTAGGATAGTTCAGTAACATAACATACTACAGATTCCCGAATAGATGTTGAGGTGTGTGTGCTTACAGTCTACATGAAAAAACAAAAAGGAGCTTCTGACCTAAGAAAATGCATATATATAAATATATATAAGTATTTAGAGATATACATAAAACAGATATCTACTAATCTTTGACTTCATGATCAACAGGCTTAGCAAGCACAAGGTTCTGGGTTCAATCACCAGCAACAAATGCACAGTAATAATGAATAAAACAAATTCTCATGTAAAACTCTCCTTCAGCTCTGTGTTCATGAAACAGTTCTCAGTCATTCTAAACCTGAACGGTTTTCAGTGTCTTCATTATCATTAGAACCACATTCTGAGTCTTCTAATAGTATTCTAACGCAAATTAATTTTCCTTTTGCCTCAGCTAAGGGAAAGCATTTTTAGACTCTGTGTAAGCTGTGACTGAAAATGTACCAGGACCACAGATTATA